AGCTCTTGAACAGCACCTGGGTGTGATGGTGAAAGAGCACTTAAGATACACTAGTGGCCATGGTGGGACAAGTCTGTAACCCTAGCATTTCCAAGGCAGAGGCAGGAGTTTAAGACTATTCTCATCCACATGATGAGTTCCAGGCCAGCCTGATCTACATGAGACAAAACAAACCAAAACATAACACAGCACCACTTCAGCTGCATACAGATGACCATCTCTCTAAGCAAAACCATTGTGTGGCTGAACTGCCAGATTCTTCTGTAGAACACCATGTTTACTTGAAAGAATGACATAAGTGACAAAGTCCTTTAGACTTTGGTATCTGGCAGACACTTCTGGAAAATGAAACAGTAAATCCTGTCACTTCAAGTCAAACAGCTGACAGTACTTGTTGCCAATGAGAAAATCTGACCTTCCAAGAGAAAAATCAGAATTTTGGCAAAACTGTATCTGCCACTTGAAGCATGGCTGCTTTTCTGGAAATTGTGATGCTAATACAAATGACTTTTTGTTTTACTTTATATAAACTCTTAACATTTTTTAATCTATTTGAATGTGTGCATGTGTCACAGTATAACGTGGAGGCCAAAGGACAACTTTCATGACTCTTCTCTCCTTCCAAGGATTGAACCCAGGTCATCAGGCTTGGAAGCAAGTGCCTTTAGCTGATGAGCCATCTCAATGGCCCACTTTTGGTGTCTTCAACAAGGTCTTAGCTATGTAGTACAGGTTGATCTCAAATTTATAGTCCTCTTGCCCCAACCTCTCAAATTCTGGGATTAATAGGCCTAGTGGTGCCATCATGCCTGCTTTCAAATATGATTTTTTCAATGCTGTATAAGAAAACATGACAGCGTTTGGAAAAACTGTGTAACTCAATCAGTGCCTACCACATGATGTCATAGAGTCAAGAAAACATACAAGCTGGTGTGGTAGTACACTTGTGAAACTGATGTAGTAAAATCTTAAGGTTCTAGAAAAATCTGAGCTACCCAGTAAATCCTCAACTTTGGATAACCAAATAACAAAATCCTACCAACCAAAAATTGATCCTTCTTTTATACAATACCAAAGTAAAATATTCACAAACTCCTTGTGTTTCAGGCTCTTCTAACCATCTGAGGCCAAATTCTCTTTAATATTTTTGTTGTTGTTTTATATGTATAAGTATTTTGTCTGCATCTATGTCTACATACAAGGATGCAATGCCCAAAGAAGCCAGAAAAACCATAATCAGCAGTGAACTTGGTTCTCTGGAAGAACAACCAGTGCTCTTAACCACTAAGCCATCTCTCCTAAATTTTCTTAACTCAAAAACTAACATATCAAAATAGAACAGTGTGAGGAAGTAAGTATGAAAATCCAGTTATCTCCTCTTAGTCTAAAAAAAATAATTCTCAAAAATGATTTTCATTTAAAAACATTCATTTATACTAACCATAACATGTCAATAATGGACCTTTAATTTTTCCAAATGAAGTAAATTCCAGTTTCTATAATATGATAAATTTGAGATATACCTCCTACATTACAAAAAATCAACACCATGTATAGTGGAATAAGCTTGTAATTCCACCACTTGAAAGGCAAGAGCAGGTGGAGTAAAGGCAAGCCTGGTCTACATATCAAATTCCACAGCTAGGGATACAAATTAGTGGTAAAATGTCCGACTAACATGCATAACTCCCTAGGTAACTCTCTAGTATACAAACGCACACAAGCACGCGTGCACACACACGCCACACACACACACACACACACACACACACACAATAATACTTGAAGGTAAGAAAATTCAAAGAGGTTTTGAAATGCATAAAGAAATCAAAGGGGGAAAAGTCTGAGAGCAGCTGGTGCAGAGCAGTACTGCCTGTCCAGGATGTCCAGGGGGCCTCTAAAGGAAAGGACAAGGTTCCTGTATTTCAGGGCCCAAGAGACATTAGCATTGTCAGTTCCCAGCTCTCAAAGAAAAGGTAAAAATTTCAGGGTGTCGGAGATAAAAACTAAACATCTTTCTCTGTACTTCACTGGCAGATCAAGGGCATCTGATTCCAAACAAAATCCAGGGAGCTTATGATCAGACTATTTCAAGGTCTTACAGTCTGGTGGGGAAATTACACCCAACTCCAGATCTAAGGTATGGAATGCATCGCATCCTGCAGTGGAGTCACTTTCCCACTAGTGAGGCCTTTCCACCCACATACCTGTTGCTTTCCTTGGTTATGCACATTTGTCCTCCTTTCCCATGCTCACCTTGCCTGGCACTGCAGTCTTCACTGCCACTCTCCCAAGCAACCTCTTTATTCTCTCCACTACAGCCAGGGCACCTCCTACACTCCTGCAGAGCTCCACACCTACACAAGGGCTTCCTGGGCCCCTATTCTTGGTTGTGTTGTGAATGAATCTGCTCCAAGTGTAACTCTAATCCTGTCCTTCACTGCTGTAGCTCTTAGTAGCTCTTAACAGTTTTCTGACCCATGTGGTCACTAAAGTAGGAAACCTACATCATTCCACTCTAATCCTTGCCCAACTTTCTGCATCATTTTGCCACCAAATTATCCATTCTGCCAGATTTAGTATCTTTCTAAACTCTGCATTCCCACAGTACCAACCATAAAATCTTCACTATCTCTAGACTGCTACTTTTTCACCAGCTCCTTATGAGAGACCAGGATCTAGATAGACTCCCTGCTAGGCAAAAAAGATGGCCAATTTCTAAGCCCGCCAGCTTCTTCCTCAACCTCCAATCTTGAGGGGGGGAAAAAATGCTGCCATGCCCCCTGCTGATGGACTGGCTCAACAAGTTAATGACCTGATTAGGATTTTCAGCTTCCAGAGTACTCCCTCTGTTTTGCGGAGGGTTTTTTCTCTGTGTCTGCTTATGCATGTTTCCTCACCCTAACAAATTACTTCCTTTAACTGATATCTTTTTGTGACATTCCTCTCCTGCTACCTGTTTCACTTCAAATTTTTCCCCACATTTAATTCTTTAACTGGGAGAGAAAATGAACCAATCAAGGCCCCTAAACTGTATCATTGCTAGACTATCACTTGGCTCTTGTCTGAAATCCTTAGTCAACCTACCCACCAGCCCTTCTATACTCTTAGACACAAACCTAATGTTATTTTCCTTCTTTTTTATCTTGACATGGAATATACTTATGATTTTACTTAGCATTTTTAAAATTGTGTATTCCAACCCAGTAACTCACACCCATAATTACAACACTAGAGTTCAAGATCATCCTGGACTACATACTGTGAGTTCAAGGCCAGTCTGGGCTACTTAGAAAGAAAAAGAAAGAAAAAAAAAAAAAGAAAGAAAGAAAGAAAGAAAGAAAGAAAGAAAGAAAGAAATCACAGCCAGGGGATGGTGGTACATGCCTTTAATCCTAGCATTCGGAGACAGAGGCCAAGTCTCTCCTGAGTTCAAGGCTAGCCTGGTCTACAGAGCAAATTCCAAGACAGCCAGGGCCACACAGAGAAACCCTGTCTCAAAAAAAACGATGGATGGATGGGTAAAATAAAAAAGGTCTAGTCACATTTAACTGCTGTATTCTTCTGAATTCACAATACCTACAAAAGGAACAATTGGCCCTGCCATCAGTGAGTATTAGGTAAAGACAGGAAGGATCTTATCGTGGTTTAGACGGCAGCTTAACAAACATCTCCAAAGTATTCCTAATATGGCATTTAAGAAATTTTTTTTCTTTCTCATATAAATTTGCAATTTATATGCATCCCTCCCGTTCATTTTAGGACACTCTTAGAAAAGTTACCTAGAAACTGCAAGTCAGCAAATGGATTCATTTAAACTTATCTGTAAAGTCTTAGGCTCTAAAACCCCTGCTCAAAAACCACCACTCTGGAGGACACAGTTCTAATCTAGCAAAACACTCCAAACCGTTTATGATCCCTACTAACGTTCCTCTTGCCATCTGTCACAGAATGGCCCCCCAACAAAACACAACTCAGGGCTGTTTCTTTTCAGGCCTTACTGTATCTTTTCTAAAGCTACTTTGTAACTTGAATGTCTTCCCACCTTTTCATTGCCACAGAACATTCCATAGACTTCTAAGGCCAGGCTTAGAGCCCAATCAGTAAGTAGCCAGCAACAAAGGGGAAAGTTTTATGCAAATAACCCTGGTACTTATTGCAGCAAATGAAAAGCATGGGATCGGAAGGCATCTTCTCTCAAAGTACTCTAAATTACTGCAGATTGGCCAAATCAACAGGCCCTGAAATTAAGGAAGAGATTTGAAAAATCCGACATGACTCCATAATGGATGGGTTTCAAATAAGGATTAAAACATTGTCAAGATTCAGAACTGGTATGTAAAGGCTGGAAGTGAGGTGACGTACTTTTCCAAACAAGTCTTAGTTAAACGCTCCCTTTCTATCACAGCACATACCACAGTAAAACAATTACTTACCTGATTAAAAATTTCCCGTTTCGTACACTCCTGAAAGCATGTTTGTCTTACTCGCCAATGTACCCTCCCTAGGAACCTTTCCTAGAGGCTTCGCTCGTTACCTACTTGTCGATGTTTATAAAAACTGTTTGTAAATGAGTAAATGAAGAAATGGCTGGATAAATGAGTAAATTACATAGGATCACAGTTCCTGCTTGAACTCTAGGGATGTGTTTATAGAAGTTAACTCTCAACGTGGAGTCGAGGAAAAGCAGGCCTTGAAAAGAGCCTGGGCTCCAACCCAAGCCATAATAAAAACCGCAGGGCGGCGGGAAAGAGGACACGCTGGAGCCAGGGCTGAGTAGGTTGCGGGGTTCGGGTCGCCTGAGAAGCCAACTAAGTGCTCTCCGCGTGGCGGCTGACGAGGCGGACTCGGGAGCGGGCCGCGGAGAAGGCCGCGGCCCCGGCCTCACTGGAGAATGACGAAGTAGCGAACCGGAAGCGGGGCTAGGGGCCCGTGCCAAAGGCCGGGGCAAACGGGAGCGGTCGGTGTGGGTGAGGGTCCGGCTCCGCGGCCACACTCACCTAGGGTACCCTGCTTCACCTCGGCTAGGCACCGGCTCCGCGCTGCTTCCTCGCTGCGCCTGCTGGGCGAGCGGGCGACCTCAGGTGTCCCTAGCAACCACGCTCCGCCACGCGACCCGCGCTCCGCCGCCGCCGGCCGTCTGCCACGCACTGCGCGCGCCCCTAGCGGACGGACCGAAGGACAGGAAGGGGTGGGCGGGAGCGGGCACGAGGCAGTCGCGCCGAATCCGAGCGCTTTTGCTGCCTAGAGAATGGGGGGCGGGGCGGGGTAGGTGGGGGAGGTTTTTTAAAAGAAGTGCAAGGGATTTGCGCACGCGCAGCCTCTGTGGCACTCTGGAACTTTGAGAGCGGAATTCTGGGAACTGTAGTCCTGCATTTAAAGGCTCCGTTCATTCTACCTAACTATTACATGGACTCTCTTTGACCATGCCGCGCCCAGACTCTATTAAAGAATTTCCATTAAAATTTCATGAGTTTAAGACAGATAAGAAGAGATAGGACAAGCCACTTCGACTCTCTCCAACTCACCTTTCTCTAAATTCAAGCGTGTAGCGGGACAGAACTAAGCGATACACAACTACAACTACCTGTTCTATGGGATTCCAGTAAGAACTTTAAGAATGTGTGAGTCCCTTCATTATCTCCCCACACAGAATAGATTTGCCGCCTGTTTCAGATGTCGCTGGACCTATTGAATTTTGAGAACGACAGAGACAGTTGGAGGGAAAGAGGCTCTTTCTCAGACAGCAAGCTACAGAAATTTAGAGAGTAATCAACAAGAAGACTAACCCGATGAAAACAATTCAGACCACAGCAAGGATGCCCAACAAAATATGTAGGTAAGGGTCATTGGTGATATTATACTATTAAAGCATTACTTACCAATCTTAGATCAGAAAAGCTAGGGCAGTTGTCCATTTTGTCTCCTGATGTGATTTGGATTACACAGCAGTATTTATGAAGTACAGTGTATTTCATAAAATGTTAAATTTTAACAGAATTTTGAAAATTTAATCTGAATCTAATCAAGCATTGGCTCTAACTTCTGGTACATAGGATTTAAGAAAAACAATTGAATAATGTCAGATAAACATAGAATCTGAGCCAATATGCAGTATGAATGAACTTTCTTCAACAAAACAGAAGTGCTCAGGCTAGAGAACAAACCTTGTGGTTAAGAGCACACTGCTTTTCCAGAGTACCTGAGTTCCATTCCCAGGACCCATGTTGTATGATGCACAACTGCTGTGACTCCACGAAGTCACTTGAACATAACCACCTGCCACACACACACACACACACACACACACACACACACACACACACAGAGAGAGAGAGAGAGAGAGAGAGAAATTTAAAAAGAATTTTTTTTTTTTTTTTTTTTTGGTTTTTCAAGACATGATTCTCTGTGGCTTTGGAGCCTGTCCTGGAACTCACTTTGTAGATCAGGCTGGCCTGGGACTCACAGATATTATCCTGTCTCTGCCTCCCAAGGCCTGGAATTAAAGGTGTATGTCACCACTGCCAGGATGTGTGTGTGTGTGTGTGTGTGTGTGTGTGTGTGTGTGTGTGTGTGTGTGTATAAAGAGGTCAGGTCAGCCAGATGGCTCAGCAGATGAAGGTGCTTCCCACCAACCCTGAAGATATAAGTTCGGGACTTGAGACCGACATGGTGAAAAGAGGAAACAAACTTCACAGAGTTGTCCTCACAACCGACACGTTTGTAGTAACTTATGAAAGCCACAGGAAACTAAACCAAGTATTTTAACATTTTGATGATTTAGGAGATATTCTTGTTTTCTAGGAAGCATAGAAGTTCTGAGGATACCAATGACATAGTGCTAGAGGTTTACTATCGCTTTAAAGATGACATAGTGCTAGAGGTTTACTATCGCTTTAAAGATGACATAGTGCTAGAGGTTTACTATCGCTTTAAAGTTACCACAGGAAGGAAGGGAAGGTACCACAGTCAGTAAAGTGTTTGTTGAACAAGTATGGAAAACTAAGTTCAGGCCAGGCTGTGTGGTGTACAACTTTAATCCTAGCACTCGGGAGGAAGAAGCAGGTGGATCTCTATGAGTACTAGGCCAACTTGGTCTACAGAGTGAGTTCCAGGACTGTCAAGGCAATACAGAGAGATCCTGTCTCACTGACCCCCCTCCAAAAGGAAAACAAAGTTCATATTCCAGCAGCCACATAAAGAGCTGGGCTCAGTTGTGCAGGCCTGTAATCCCAGTGCTTGGAAGATAGAGACAGGAGGATCCCTTCAACTTTCTGGCTAGTCCATCTAGCTTATTGATGACTCCAAGTTCAGTAACAGGTCACATCTCAAAAATTAAAATTGTAGGGCTGGAGAATTGGCTCAGAGGTTAAAACACTGGCTGCTCTTCCAGGGGCCATTTTTTAAAGAGCACTGGATGCTCTTCTAGAGGTCCTGAGTTCAATTCCCAGTAACTACATGGTGGCTCACAACTATGTATACTGAGATCTGGTGCCCTCTTCTGGAGTTAAAAAAAAAAAAATGATTATGCTAGGCCTTGATGACACAGACCTTTAATCCCAGCACTCAGAAAGCAGAGGCAGGTGGATTTCTGTGAGTTTGAGGACAGCCTGGTCTACAAAGTGAATTCCAAGATAGCCAGGGCTGTTACACAGAGAAATCCTATCTCAAATCCCCTTAAAAACTTTAAGATTGAGAGTGATTGGGAAGCCACTCCACATAAACTCCCTCTGTACATAAACATGTACATACATAGAATGTAAATAACCAAATAAAATGCTATAGGAGGTCAAGAGATATAGCTTAGTGATAGATGCATGCCTAGAGACTATGCACAAGGTTATGGATTCAGTTCCCATCACAAAACCAAACAGTTGAGCATGGTAGAATACACTTTTAATCCTAGCACTCTAGAGGCATAGGTAGGTGGTCTCTGCCAGTTCAAGGCCAGCCTGGTAGAAATAGAAAATTCCAGGCCAGCCAGAACTACATAGTAAGACTCTGTCTCAATAAGTAAGTTAATACAAATAATAACCAAAATAATAACAGTAAGAAAGCCCAACACCTACAGAAAACACACCTTAGTAGTAAGGAGTACAATTACTATCCAGGCCTCTCTCTCTGTCTCTGTCTCTGTCTCTCTCTCTCTCTCTCTCTCTCTCTCTCTCTCTCTCTCTCTCTCTCTCTCTCCTGATTTGATTTGGTTCTTGAGGCAGGGTTTCTCTGGGTAGCCCTGGCTATCCTGGAACTCACTTTGTAGATCATGCTGGCCTTGAACTCACAGAAATCCACCTGCCTCAGCCTCCCAAGTGCTGGGATTAAAGGTGGGTGCCACTACTGCATTCCACCACCACCCAGCCCAGCCAAGTCTTAGTTTCTAATACATTTTTCCATGAAAGGGAACCTAGCATCTTTGGAAAAGAGATTGATTGTAGGCTCAAGCAGAAAATAAATGAGCCTGGAGTCTCCTTTCATCAGCAAAGGAAACCCTGCATATAGCCACAATGGTAGGAAAGAAGTGTGTCACTGGAATTAATTGAAAGATCTCCCAACAGACAAGGCTGAAACAAATTAAGAACAAAGTAAAGAAATACTTTTTCCTAACCCAGATAGCCATGTGTCTGTCCTTGGAATCATTTGGTACCTTAACAGAAAGGACAAATCTGAAGAGAAGAGATCTAGTATGTAGACACTATTCTGAAGGAGGAAGGGGAGTACTCCCTTTCCTTAATTCTGGGCTATGCCTATATGGGGCAAAAAGAGTTATTTTACAGTGGAGACATCGTACAAACAGAATAAGATGGGGTGCTGTATTCCTATAACCTCAGCATGTGGAAGACTGAGGTGGAAGAATGATCTAGCTAGCCTGTGCTGCATGCTGAGTTCCATGCTGGCCAGAGCCACATATGAGACAATGTCTTAAAAATAAAATCATACCTAACATTTCACTGGTTGACCAAGGTCAGTATAAGACATGAATCATGTTCATTAAATGGACTTTGGATATGGTGTGATAAAAATTACACTGCAAATTGGACATTGTGGGTTTACTGCCATATGGGACAATGGCTTCTGGTTTGTATATGTGCATATTTATGTGGGCATGAAAGTAAGCATCGGTGACAAAATTAGAAAGGGGTTGTGATGGATCTTAGTTGTCAGCTTGACTGGAATCAACTGGAACCGGAAATCCATTAAAGTCCCTGTGCAGTCCTGTGAGGGACTTTCTTGGCTAAACTACTTGAATCATGAAGACCCTCCTGAGTGGGGGCAGCTCAGATAAAAAGCCACAGAAGAAGGAAATGTTTGTCCCCCCGCTGGTTTTCACTCTTGCTGGAAAGTTCATGCATCCGGTCATTACTGCACTCTTTAACTGATATTAAAGCCAGATTCTTTGGGCTTCCAATGTAGACTGAAGGCCAGAAGATCTCCAGGAATATTCTAGACATTCAACACTGGATTGGACTGCTGAGACATTCAGCCTCGTGACAGAACAACTACAGGATTTCAGGTTCTCTAGTGTGAGGCAGCAGTTGTTAAACTACCTAGACTGTATTGTGTAAGCCAATGTAATTTGTCCCCTTATGTTCATCTGTCAGTTCCGTTCCTTGAGAGCATGGGTTCTCAACCCTTAATCCAGTTCCTCATGATGTGGTGACCCCATCCATAAAATTATTTTGTTCCTATTCCACAGCTGTAATTTTGCTACTGTTATGAATCATAACGTAAATATCTGACAGCAGGGTATCTGATATGTGACCCTTGTGAAAAAGTCATTTAACCGCCCACAAAGGGGTCAAGACCCACGGGTTGAAAACCACTGCCTTAGAGAATGCTGACTGCTCCAGGAACCACAAAAGAGCAAAAAGAGATCTTAAGGGGGAGGATGAGACGGGTAATAGTACACAAAAGACATGAAATTAAAAAGGGGACTACTGGAGATGGATGGGAGAGAGGACAGGAGAGAAACCAGAACAAGGTAAGTCAGGCAAAAAGGTACACACCTGTTCAGGAGACTGAGACCACAAGATGCTTGAGTCCAGGAGTTTGAGCCCCATATTAAAAGAAAAAAAAAAAATAGCACTCAGGCTGCAGAGAAGGCTCATCAGCCACAAACTGCTCTTACATTGGACTCACATCAGACGCCGCACTGCCTGTCAGTCCAGCCCAGACTTAGTCCAAATGCCCACCTCTGGCCTCTTCAGGAACTTACATGAAGGTACCCACACAGAGATATATGCACATACCCACACA